TTCACAAAGACGATGATTTTTATAAGCAAACGTCGTGACATTTCCATAGCAATCTTGAAATTTAGAACACCCAGCCCACTTAATTAAACATGTATTCGAGTATAACGTCAATATGATTTCATTGTATTTCCTATTTTTAAATTATACTGCAGGTATAATAAAAAATACCATAAGATACACGTGTATAATTGGTCTTTAAAGCACTTGCAACGTTAAAGGCACTCCGCTTTGCGTCTGCCCTTAAACTCGTTGCGCGTGCTTTAAAGACTTGATTATACACTTGTATCTTAATATACTATTTTGCGCAGATCGTCTATAAATGAAGCAAAACGCTTAATTATGAAGTTTTGAGGTCGTAGCTCGAAAGACGACAGAGATGCTGTGATATCTCGAAAAGGGGAGGGAGCTACAGTTCAAACTTGCTACGGATCGGCCGGTAAATAAGGAAAAATATCGTGAGATGCGTGGCCCTTTAACAGGCATCCGTGCGCGTGGGCGATTAGGATGGGTTAGGTTTAGGTTAGGTTCAAAGTCAGGTTCGAAGTCAGATGTAAAGTTGGATTTAATCTAACCTAACCGTAATCTAACCTAACTGCACATTTCGACCTACATGCTACATTCGGACCAGACCAGAAATTTCTATGGTAACTTCCACTAAGGCCGCTTGACATGGAGCAATACAACGCGCAAGAACTTGCAGAAAGAAATTGCAAGGTCAAATCCTTGCATGCAATAAGCATTGCATGGTATTTGACATGGTGCAATTCTATTTCAATTGCCACATGTCTGCCAACAGAAGAAACATATGGATTTGTCAACAAAGTAGTTAACCTCAAATGAAAATTAAATTTTGATTGCTTGAAGAAACATGAAAATTACAAGAATAAATAAGATTAATAAAAACAAGTAATGAGTGCGTCTCTCAGCATCATAGTTGCCGCCGCTGTATTTTACTAGGTTGGTGACACAAAAACAACTAGATTTGTCCCTAGAATTGCACGATTCATGCAAGAAAAATAGCACCTGTCCTATAAAAATTGCATGCAAGTCTCTTGCAGCAATTGATCAGCTGGCTTTGAACTGCGCATGCCTTTCGCAATTTTTCTTGCAACTTGCATGCAATTGCAATTTTTATTGCTCCATGTCAAGCGGGCTTAATAAAAGCAAACAAATCGAATGCGCACAAAAACGCAACTTTGCTCGTCGAAAAGTAGTCCTACCCTTCTCCCCCATGGTAGGTCACTCTAATAAAAGCAAATAAAACGCATGCACAAGAACATGTTGCGCACACGCAAAACGCGTTTTTCTTATTTTCGGTGCTATTTGTTAGAAATAAAATCACTCCAGCGGAGACTTAAAATGCAAAGCATTTTTACCAACCTATACGATAAGATTGACTAAAAAAGAGTTCACCAACATATTGGCCCTTTTTCAGTCAAATCAAATTTCCCCGCTTTTTTTCCTTTTAGAATACGACAGACAAATGTGCGTCATCGCACCGAATTCGGCGGGGGATACCAAAACGGCGTGAAACGCCGTGATCGGCCAGAGCGAGCGAAGCGAGATCCGAATCGATCTAGTTTTGTCAACATAAAACAAACTAGGCTGCAGTTGGAGTGTTAATTGGAAATTATTGAACGAATTATTATTAGGTTTATATATTCAGATCTATGCCAGGTAGAAATTTAATATTTTGACCATTTAATAAAAACCAATGTAATCAAGGAGATATTTTCCGTGTTCATACACAATATACCAAAATTCATTATTTCCGTTGTTGTCACTGTGCATGGTGGACAGTTCAACCTTCAAAAAACCCATTTTGTAATGACACTTTCAGCAAATCCCTTCAGCAAACTAAAATAAGGAAGGAAATAGCTATTATACATCAAGTACATAAACTGGGTCTTTATGGACGGCCGTTTATTTAGCCAGCGAGCTTGCGAGCAAGGCACAAATAAACAAGGCGAGTCCCCATAAAGCCTATTTATGGACGCGATATATACAAAGCTTTATGTACGACTGCAACAACCCTTAAAAATGAAAATTTCATGGAATTCAATAAACGATAAAATCAATATATCATTGACAACAGACCTCAAGCATTTGTCAAGTATTTCAAAATACTTGAATTTACCTTGGATTGACACCTAAGTACGACTGTCACATTGACAGGCGGCCGTTTTACTTTATCATTATGGACTAGAGGCCATATAATATTGCAAATTATGGTCACTAATTGCGACTGTAATCATAATCACCGCATTGTCAAGCAGTCGTACATAAAGTAAAAAATAGAACAGCTAGTCGCAGACATTCAACCCTATGCTGTATCACTCTCGTTATTCTATACGATCAATCGTTATCGCAGTTTAACGATCAAACGTTATGATGACCACAACGACTATCGATAAACGCGATATGCTGTATCAATATTTTAACGGTATCGTTACGTTGTCCGGTATCTCGCAGTGGCTATTTCGGAAAAAAGTGTCGCAATCTAAAAAACAAGGAACGCTGCGCAACGGCAGTGCGTGTAAGAGTGAAATACCACAGCGATCAAATATAAGAGGGCGCTTAATCTTAAAACAAATACCCGCCAGATTTGGAAATGCAGACGTTTCTTTAAAATTATTATTATTAATTGTACATGTACCTACCTAGTTGGTTTATCACGACATGGCGAATGTCGAAGAGAATAATAAGAGGCCATACAACAGTTTGTTTTTTTTAGATGATTAGGTACAAATACCTTCATTTTCTCTCATATTCTGTGGAGGTATATCTACATCACCTTCATTATCCTCGAGTGGTGGTAAGTTCTCCTGTATCGCAATATTATGGAGTATTGCACAATGCACAGCACAACACAATTTTCGCAAATCTGTCAGGGGAGTAATGAAGAACTCTGTACTTCAAGAGGCATCTAAACCTTTGCTTCAACACTCCAAAACAGCGTTCTATTACATTCTTGGCTAAAATGTGTTGTGTAGTGTATCTTCCCTGTGGTGAAAGTGGGTCTGCCTCTGCATTTTCTATTGGCGTTAACAACCATGGCTGCAGTGCATATCCTGAATCACCTATACAAGTTTGTAAAAGGGCAAAATTGTTAGGTCACAACAGCCACACTCACCAATTAACCAAGATGAATGTAACTCATTGGTTAAATACTTTTCTTCCAGGTGCCTTTTCACCGCACTCATATCCCATATTGCAGAGTCGTGAGTAGATCCTGGAAACCGTGCATTACAATTCAGGATTTTTATGTTCGCATCACAAATCTGCATGTTAAACAAATTTTCATTGAAACATGCTGCTGTTAGTCCTTACCATTTGTACATTCAGATTCTCTTGGTAAACGAAAATTTTTTTGAAAATCAATTTCACCCAGCTGAAACGGATCACTGTTGTCTCGTAAAATTCTTCGTTGGATGTTTTCCTCATGTCTCAATAAAAACATAATCTACGAGTATTAAAAGGCACAGAACTCACCTCCCTATTACATTTTCCAATTGCCCGAACAAAGCTACTTGCAAAAATCCTTGCAATTATTCATTTTCTTTCTCTTTAACATCCCCTTAAACTCCGAACGAATCGATGACAGGACCGTTACGCGCCAAACGGATAGCATGCACCCTGCCGTTAAGTTTCTCTGCTTATGTTTGCAAAATAACGATAGAGAATTACGATAGTCGTTATCCCACTCTTTTTATGAGTGATACAGCATACCGATTTTTAAAAAATTATGGTAACGCCGCATAACGATATCGTTATTCTTAACGATAGTGATACAGCATAGGGCCGAATGTTAACGTTTTTTTTATATTGTTTATGGTATAGTTTTCTGGTTACAATTTTCACCTTAAGAAAAATAAAGGTAATTTATCAATCAATAAATTGCAGCAGGGTTTTAATATAAAGCTCCCGCGGCAAAATATATGACGCCCTTATTTTACAACATCTATACTCTATATCTTTAATTAGTGGATCTTTCAGAACAGCTCCTTTAGATGCAGAATGGTAAGGAGCCGGAGGGAGAGAATGATAAAGGTTCAGCAGTAAATTTATCGCAACCTTTGGGAAAATAAAGACATATTTATTGTATACGAATATAAAACTGTCCAAATACGGATTAGTGAGATAACCAGCGCTGAAACTAACAGCAGGCGTATTTTCAGATTCGGTTAAGTGCTGAATTATAGTTAAATAAAAGTGCGTATCCGCGCTAGAAAAATGTACCCATCCGACATTTGATTTCGAATTTTATTGTATTTATCTAAATGTAAACAGGTCACGTTGTTTAAATAGAGATACAAGAAATTTCGTATTTACGCAAGGGATTAAACAAGAGTTCATTTTTGTGCCCATCGAAATGGACGTGATGAGCATGCAAAAGTTTACGTACTTTTTTGTACTTTATACGAGTAAATGCTACGGTTTAGATTACCAATTGAAACACCATTAAATCGGCTTGCAAAAAGCAATCCACACTTCTCTTTATTTAGACGAAGGAAATGAGGAAAAAAGTTGTACACTTTTGCAAACAGAAACAGTTCGTATCGAAACGAACGAGTTTTGAAAATTGCGGAAGGGGTGCAAAAAATGTGTTTATAATAAAATTGTTTCGGAAGTTTTCAGGAGTGCAGAGTATTTGAGGAACATTACGTTCTAAAGTAAGGTTCAGTACCTACCTAAAATTAAGACAACGTGAAAGTGTCTTTGACTTCTCATACTTTCGTAATTTACCCACCTGTTTACCGTTGTAAATAGTTTATTGAATTTCAACTAATTAATTGGTGCGAGGCTTAGAGAAGGAAAGAGTGAGGAGTGACAATAATCATCGTAAAATGAAGCCCATACATTTGTTTGTTGTTTCACCCAAATCATGGCCGCCTACAGTTCATTGGCGTAATGTTAAAACGGCAATCGTAGGTACAATTTGTGTAAAGTAAATACAATACAAACGTATTATTTTAAACAATTATGAGCACCGAGACGAAGAGGCGTAGAAATGTTTGTAGTATTTTTACCCAATAAAATACGGGGATGGATAACCTTCCAACCACGCTTCGTCTCCTTTTGTGACAATGGTCAACTTCATTTCCCCATGCAAGTACCTATAGAATGGTGGCTATTTCTGATATAGGAATGTCCCAGGCAGATTATCAAGCATCGTTAGCTTCGAGTGGTAGCTCGGAGGGGCGACAAAGAATCTTCCGTGCATCTGTAATAAGTTGTACATATATTACTTTCCAACTTTTTCATCAATTTGCTACAAATTTATGGATATCTTTTACGTTTAAGATATTATAGGTACAATGCGTACGCCACTGGTCAATGCATACGGACACGTTGAGATAAAAGGCCTAAACTCCGTCCAATCTGCGCATGCGAAAGAAACGTCAAAGTTGCAATGTTATTAATTAAAATGTAGGTTAGGTTATTGTTTTCATCACAGGCTGTTATAACGAATAAACATATTTGTAAATCGTAATGTACATTTAAACTCACAGACTTTTGACGTTGTTATACTAAGACCCATGTTTTCCTGCAGCAGTATAAAATCCGAAAAGGACAGTATAAGCCCCACGTTCACAAATCGTAACCCAGACATTTCAAATACCTACAAATCGCTCATAAACCGGACGGCTACTAGGGTGATAAAACTGGAACGCTCCTACTGGCATAAATATACAAATTTGCTTTCCTACCGCCTCCAATAAGACAGCCCGATTGTAGATGACAACCGACACAAACAGGCCGTCACGTAACTTCATTGTTCGTCCATTACATCAACGGACCCGACACTCACCGCTAGCACGAAGGAATGGGCCATCAAAACCAGGCTGTATAAGACCATGCACCAAGTCGTTGGCGTACGTGAACGTCACACGGTCACGTCCCTGCATTCAATTTAATGTTTGCTATTTGTAGGCTTCAGTTCTTCGTAGGTACAAAGATGCCTTGCAAGCGGTCCGACAGAGTTTATGTGCGCTTGCAAACCCGAACACAACGGCAGTAAGGTCGCAAAGTTTCTACCGTGCTCCAAGATTTCAATTTGAAATTGTCTGAGCCGGAATAGTCAAGAGAGCCGTGGACGAGAGAAAGATTACCAAAACCGTGGGATATAATCTGACTTGACAGATAATGTGAATCGACCTTAAATTGTGTGCCTATTAGGTAAATAGCTGCATAATTTACACTAAAGTTTTATTTGTACTTGTGCTTCCATAGTTTCTGTAAAGAGAAAGCTGAGTATTGGGTCGCTCCAATGAAGTGAAGAAAGCCTTATGTTCAGTCTCTCGAGATGCTTCCCTGTTTCTAACTCAAAGGTTCTTCCAAAGAAGGTGCTTATTACTAATTTCTAGATTGCATGAAAAACCGTTTATTTGATTTTTTAAGAAGAAGTTAATGGGTTTCAAGAACAATAAATTTGATAAATATGTACACTTTTTATTGCTTACCAATATTTTAAACATTAAATATTAATAAACTACACAATAATAAAAAGGGCACCTTAGTTATAGTGAATTGGCAATTTCAAATTGAAATCTTGAAGCACATTAGAAACTTTGCGACCTGACTGACGTTGTGTTCGGGTTTGCAATCGCACATAAACTCTGTCGGACCGCTTGCAAGGCATCTTTGTGTGAAGAACTGAACCTTTTCGGATTTTACACTGCCGCAGCGGAACATGGCTCTTGGTATAACAACGTCAAAAGTCTGTGAGTTTAAATGTACATTACGATTTACAAATATGTTTATTCGTTATAACAGCCTGTGATGAAAACAATAACCTAACCTACATTTTAATTAATAACAATTAACATTGCAACTTTGACGTTTCTTTCGCATGCGCAGATTGTACGGAGTTTAGGCCTTTTATCTCAACGTACATACAGACTCGATCAAAAAAAATCTGTAGCAATTAAAATAAAGGCCATATCTTTTCCATTGTAGTACATACTTGTACTCATTACATTTGGCAATAAAATTAAAAGTTATTTTCTCATGCATATTGATCTACGAGCTCCATCAAGTTAGCCCCCGCAATTAAAAAAAAATGTGTAATGACGATTTTTATATAGTGCTAGGGTTGTGCTAAATTGTGCTGATTCGATTTTAATTTGTGCTGATCTGGAAAATCAATTTTTTTTAATTGAAACGCGGGGGCCAATTTGACGCCCAGCCCCCCGGTTTTTTCAACGTACAAATTCCATTACTACTTTAACGAGTTGTGCTCGATGCATATTGGATTGTGCCGGTCAAATATTCGAAAATAGTCTTCCGGTTCACGGTAGATCCTGCACTCAAATCTCGGGGGCCAACTTGACTCCCAGCCCCCACGTTTTTTACAAATATGGAAATCTAAATAAGGTCAATCAATTGTGCTCACTGCATATTGGATTGTGCCGTTCAAATATTCGACAATAGTTTTACGGTACACGATAGTTCCTGCGTTTAAATCTCGGGGGCCAATTTGACTCTCAACCCCCCGGTTTTTTAACGTGCAAATTCCAATACTACTTTAACGAGTTGTGCTCGATGCATATTGGATTGTGCCGGTCAAATATTTGAAAATAGTCTTCCGCTACATGGTAGTTCCTGCACTCAAATCTCGGGGGCCAACTTGACTCCTAGCCCCCACGTTTTTTACAGATATGGAGTAAGCAATAATGGTAATCATTTGTGCTCGATGCTTACTGAATTGTGCCGTTCAAACTTTTGAAAATAGTCTTACGGTACCCCACAGCTCCTGCACACAAATGTTGGTGGTCATCTTGACTCTCAGCCTCCCCGTTGTGTATTCACGAACTGTGCGCTCTAGAGGCACCCGTAGATACTCCTCTACGTCTACGGCCACGAACGAAATAAAATGAATGTATGTTTGATGATATCAAATTCTCGTGGCCCATTCTTGATTCTGGATTACGATAGGAAGGTAGACAGGGTCCACGCGTACCTACGCCTCAAATTCGAGCCCTTTGTACTACCTATCTGACTAGAGTCGTTTGATCCCTCAACGTCACTCAAGCCATCCCACACGTGAGATGAACCTAAGGATGCTGGAAGGAGAGGCGGCTCTAATCATCGTAGCCATGTCCGGTCAGGACACCCTTAACATGGATCGTCTGAGTTGGACTAGAGCGAGGCATTCAACAAAGTATGTGGTGTGCCGTTTCATCGTCCGTGTAACTTCCTCTACAAGATAGTGATTCTATCAAACCCATGCGAACCCATGCGGTGCATGTGTTTGTTTTGTTTGCAGTGCCCAGAAAGTATTCCCACGAGTAACCTCAAGTTCTTTCTTGATAGCCCTGTGCAAAAGCGCATCAGGTTACGAGATGGTCCTTTGAAGGCTTCTCTCGCATCGCGACAATCTAACATCATGTTCCATCTAACCCTGCGCTGGGTTTAGGTGTCCTGAGTTATTAAGTTGTTTACAATTTCAGCTGTAAGTGGAAGAGCCGGCTCCGGACCATAAAACACCTGTTTCGAGGTCAGTCGAGCTCACCCATTGGCTTTCTCATTCCCTTCCATTCCAGCATGCCCTTTGACTCATGCGAGCTGCTTGCTACTTGCTCTAGTGGTGCATGGTGACATTCGGAAACCAACATAGAGGTAATTTTACAGCGACCAAGTGCCTGCAGGGCAGCCCTGCTGGCACAAGAGATTCTGATAGTTTTGTGCATAAGAACTTTTCTTGCACTAAGGGTTACCAACTCTGATTGGAATACAGTAAGAAGCTTGCCTAGTGGTTGGGTGATATGGAAGTTCAGTTCGTTGGAATAAATACCAGTGCCTGTTACTTACATTGTTTTAGATCCATCTGTGAAGATGAATATGTAGAGTTGGGATGCCACATCCTCATCAAGGAAAATGTGGTAATTTTCCCCTAATATGAATTGAGGAGTATGTCCAGTTGCACCACCAAAATTAAACCTTGCTTATAAAGTTAAGTCGAACTTAAAATCTATAGCAACGATTATTAAAGACAATAAGTGATACTTAATTTTGTCGGTGCAATTGGTCATTAGAGTCCGATTGCTCTTCTAGGGCAGGTAATCGCTTAATCGCCTCGCCCAGA